TTTGACTCGACGCGCAATTCTGAATGCGCGGTTAGCAGGTACGGACCGCGAGGAAAAGAGACGGATATACGGCGACGTATAACCGACCATGCTTTTGAATATCACAAATATTTTCTATTAAATCAGTTTATAGTAAGTATTAAAACAAAATTTACTTCAGATGCGTTAAATTAACAGACATTGGTGCCAATTCTGGCATGAATCTCTAAACTTAAAACTAAATTTAACATCAGTCTCTCCTTTTCATTCTGTATAGAGAATGATAAGGATATACTGCTGCCAAATTGAAGTTTAGGTTTAGAGAATCATGCTAGAATCGACATCATTGATTACATACCCGTTGAAAAAATGTCAATAATAAGTATTATTTTCGCATTTTTTCACGGAGCACAGCGGCTTGTTGACTTTTCAACGGTCCGCGCGTGACTGTGAAGCAAGAACTGCTTGAGTCGTGTTCAAGCATTTCTCGATTGGGACTGATTTTGAGCGCACGTGGTGCATCTAGGGTATTTAATATTGTTGTCCGCGACCCTCAAAATCGTTCCAAGAGCATAGCTGAATTGGTGGAATCTATCTCGCTCTAGTAGTGTGCCAAAACAGTTGCAAGAGAGGGACAGATTCCACTTTCGTCGTGTCGCGCTAAGAGTATTTTTCCCCCTTATGAAGGTAGAAATAAAAATGGACTTTATGTATAACTCGAGTACATTTTATGAATACTCATATTGTTTCGTAAGCATTCCAGTTAGTATTTAAGTTCCTTGGTCTAACACAAATAAAGGTTTTTTTTTAATATTTCGTAGAAAAAAATAAGCTATTATATGCCTTCTCACTTTATTTGCACACGCCTCGTTTAATAACTTTAGTAGGTAAAATTTTATTTGGTTGCACACGCCTCTAATAATAACACAGGAGCACAAAAAAAATACCTGCGCGAAAGATCACCTGAACTTTATGTTTTCGGGGTCACTGAGTCCAAATAAGGTGCCAGAATAGCAAAGTTGGTTCCGTTTTTTTCAGAAATCATCAATAATGCTGAAAATTTAAGTTTTTCGTATAATATGGTTTATGTTGTTAAAAAACGCGAATAAACTTCGATATTCTGGCACCATAATTGGACTCAGCGACCCCGAAAATATAAAGTTCAGATAGTCTGGTCTTTCGCGCATGATACTTTTTTTTGTGGGCCTGTGTATTGAATAAATTAAGTAAAACTTTAGCTGTTTCGTTTAAAATATATTTTAATATGTAGGTACTTTTTTTATTTTTTTTTTATTTTATTAATTTATACTTCTTTTCTTGTAAATTATCTTAGTAGTCTTAATTTATACCCTATCCAGCAGTGTCTGTTTTGTAGGCAGCTATTTGACTAGACTCAATTGTTAAGCCGTTGGCCGTTAATAAAGACATTGAAAAAACCTTTTATTTTTTTTATTTCCTATTATCAACCTTAGATTACAGTCTGTCAATAGAGTCACGATGAAAAAGATCGCCGCTACAGTCGCTTACATGGTATCCCCGTTATACATCGACTAAAACACCTTGACACTTTGTTAAAAAGTAGTATTGTATAATTTTATGACTTGCATACATTTCATTATTACCCGAGTTTCTATCTTCAGATTTATTTTTCTGAAGGATCTCTAAGGATGACATACTACTTATACAGGCATTGTACAGCCTAGTAGTTGTATAGAAGTCGTTTAAGTTACGTACAATTGAAGGGTTTTTTACAAAAACAGCACAACTATTTAGCAACAATTTAACAGGAAATATAAAAAACATTCTCCAAACCATATTTTTCATTTAATAACTTAGAACTTTTGAAAATTTATTCATGTTAATGTATTGGATTGAATATGTAACATTTTTTATTATTTATACCTACTGTTATGGAATAAAATTATAAAATGTAGTATGTACTAGTGTTCTTTTTGTAAAAAAAATGTATTTATGTTATTTTTGTAAAAATAAAAGTAAAAGTTTTGGAATTAAAGACATCTAATTATTCATAATTAAGTACTTTATTGACATACAAACAATCACAGCCATTATAAAGTACAATTAACTTATTATTTATTCTTCTCCTTCACATACATCTTCATTATCAATATCCATATCTTCTCCTTCCTCTGCTACAATTTCACATATTTTATCATAGATAATCATCTTGTATGGTTCACTCAAAAAATGTTTCAATCTCTGAATATCCTTAGCTTTATTAGGATTCAATGGAATTTGAGCCTTGTAAAATGGACTAAAATTCAGTTCCAAAGGCAGTGGACGCTTTGTCCGTACATGGATTCTTGTCCATTCTCCAGTAAAGTTTTACTTAACCAAGACAAATGGTGGTTTTATTTTTTCACAAAAACTACTTATCTACGTTCAGATACGTAATTTTTGTAAAAATTGCATGCAGTTGTGTAGTTTTTGTAAAATATGTGTTTTTTTACTGTGCGATTCTGTGCTAATTATACTGTTTTTGTAAAATCGAATTAAACTGTGTGGTGTAACTTCTTTCATAGATCATATTGCCATTATTACAAAAATACCTTAATATTGTTAGTTATGTAGTTTTTGTAAAAAACCCTTCAATTCTTTTAAGTGAAGGTACAATCTATACATGTAATAAAATGGTAGGAAAGTCAAAACTGTACATTGTATATTTTTGTAAAAAATCTTTAATAATAATATACAATGTACAGTACAGACACCCCAAGTATTCACTTGTGGCGTGATCTACAATCGATACCGAAGCCAAAAATATAGTTTTTAGAATTTTTGTCTGTTTGTCTGTATGTATGTCCGAGATAAACTCAAAAAGTACTGCATGGATTTACTTCAAATTTGGCACGAATATTATTAAGAAGTCGGGTCAGCATTATAGGCTACAATATTATCACCTACGGGGAACGAGCAGTGAACCTTAATTTGTAACTAACTCCACGCGTACGAAGTAGCGGGCGGCCGCTTGTAGTCAATAAAATACCATTTAACAGCTAGGTGCTAACTGGTAACACACGTCAGTACTTAAAGGTTAATAAGCGATTCAAATAAGAACAGGAGAGCCAATGACCTCCATCTGTCAAATGTCGCTTGAAAAGTACAGTTTGCAAAAAAATCTTGGAATACTTTTTTAGCACTGAGCTAATCTTAGAATAAGAACTAAACATTTGTAAACAAAAGAAGGAAATAAATCATGTGAAAGTATAGCAAGTTAGTATTGGAAACGGGAAATATAAGAACTTTAGTTTTATTATAAATACACATAATAAAAAGACCGTTTTTATTTTAAATATAGTTGTCGTTTTAAAACCTACAATAATGGATATTTTATAGCCGAATGCAGCAGTGATGATGACTACTTCGATGGTAGTGCACAGATTAGCGGATTTAAAGAGCTAGATTCTGATTAATATTTTTGCTCACTCAGTCTTAATTAATAAAATATTATTAAAAATTAAATTTTTATTTCTCTCAATATTAGTAAAAATGTTAGGTATTTAAAAATTTGTTATTTTTTTCACTTAAGTATAAGTTTTACTAAAGAAAATCTTTTTTGCTCACTCTACCTAATTGAATTGACAGCTATAGTCACAATATGGCGCCCAGCCGGTCCTATTCTTAGTTGAATCGCACTAATTGCGCTGTATTTAATTTTACGGCGGATTTAAAGACTGTTTTAACAAATGAGTAGATATCTGTTGGATCCAAAGAAAATTTTACTAGAAAAAAAATCCACACGTACCCGCTATCCGGGCGAATGCCCTGACCATATGCTATCACGTGGAATTTTATTTATAAAATTTTCTTTAGATTTAAACATCTAGGCAGTTAAATGCATAAAAAGTAAAAATATAATCTTTGTTGGTTGTTCTGTTGAGTAAAAATTTTCTATGCTATGTTTTCTGTTTCCAGTGAAACAAGAACATTTGGCAGATAATAAAGAAATAAAACGAAACATTAAAAAAAATAATTCATTTATTAAAATTTCATATTAGGTATAACGATCGACCGCCATTCTAGGATATTAAAATGGTTTAACAAAACTTTGCACCGAGATAAAATACAGTCTGAGTCTGTGTTGTAAAATATATTATAGCTACATAATAAAATAAATGTAAACCTCAATTTAAAAAAGACTATAAAATGTTATGTATATTCAATGGACTGTTACAATACATTCTATAATTATGAAACAACGCTTGCAGCTTTACCGATTAAAAAAAAATTACCAAATTATACAAAAGTAAAGGTTCTGGAATAACTGCTAAAATACTTAAAAAGAATACATTTTTATCAGTCAAACTTGATGCCCCTTTTTAAAAAACGAGGACTATGCTTAGACTAGATAGGCCGTGTTTTGTCCATGTCACAAATACTTTATATCATTCGATGAATAAATAAATAAATATTTCCAAAACTCAGACCAATTAGCCCAGCCCCAAAGTAAGCACTGTAAGGCTTGTGTTATGGGATGCTAGGGTAACGGATAGAATACAATGTATACTGTACATATTATATAAGTATATTTATATAGAAATACATATTAAACATCCATGGCTGGAGTACAAATGCTTGTGTATTCATCACACAAACATCTGCCGACACCAGTAGGCGACACCTTGAAACCCGGCTTGCAAACCACTCGGCCACGGAGGTCGTCGGAATAGAGACAAAACATGGAGTAATTAAGCCGAGCTTACTCTTCGTTTATTAATAAGGGTGTACAAGTCTATTTGCAACAAAATCATGCGAGCAACGCGGCCGGAGCTTCCCCCTTTGTTGAGTTTGGCATACAAATTGGGCATACAAGCTATACCTCCATGTGGTGCAGGATTTGGCAATGTATTGTTATCTTGTTTATGCGTGTGTCGTAGTTACAGTTGCCTTAGCGCGAACCATTATCGAATTCGTTAAATTGAATTCGATCTATTTTATAAGACCTCACATTTGCGGCGTTTGGAGTCGAGACTCAGGGACCCAACCCCTCTAGCATGACCACCGAAACGGGATATGATAAAGCGATATATCGACATTAACTGTCAGACTACTGTCAAACTCCATAGTAGTCTGACAGTTAATGTCGATATATCGCTTTATCATATCCCGTTTCTGTGGTCATGCTAGAGCGGCTGGGGCCCCGGTGCCCACCATCTTTTCAAAGATATCGCGAAAAGATTGGTGGAGACCACTGGAGACCGCAGAGCTGGCGGTTATTTCGCCCAGCGCATAAGCCTCGCTATTCAGAGGGGAAATGCCGCCAGCGTCCTGGGAACCTTTGCCGACGGGGAAGACTTAGGGCAGCTATTTTTTTAATATTTTTAATTTTTGTCTAGTTTTAGTTTAATATCTAAATCCAGGTAAATAAGTTGTGCTGTAAATAAACACTAGCTTAATGCGAGTGTGTGCGAAGTCATAAGAATTAAATTTTATAAGTCAAATGTGTAATAATGTTTAGTTGTCGTTACGTCCGTTGTTGCGCGCTGCTGTTCAAGTTTCCATACAAAATGTGACATTGACATTTCGCACTCGCAAACTATTCGAATTCGATATTGGTTCGTGGTAAGGGGTACTGTACACCTAGCACGAACCATTATCGAAGTCAAATAGTTTGCAACTATGAAATGTCAAATTTTGTATGGAAACCTATGGTGTATTCCGAAATATAAACCAGTACGCTGGCCAGCGGTAATGACGTCATGATTTCGACGCCATACTGCACAGTAGTAGTGTTGTCAATATGGCGTCGAAATCATGGCGTCATTACCACTGGCCAGCGTACTGGTGGTTGATTCGGAATACACCCTTAAACAGCAACGCCACAAAGTACGTAACGAGAACTAAAAATCAGTAGATACACATTTGACAATGACATTTCGGACTCGCAAACGTTACGAATTCGATATTGGCTTAGCGTTTACGTTAAATTGAGTATGTATGCATATTCCCCTCCGCAAAATTGACATAATGATTTGAATGGAATTAATCTATTCCCTTCCGTGTTGCCCTATGAATGAAAATACACGGTACAGCCAAAGACACTTATGTTACCTCGTATAGTCAAATGTTCACGAAGCGATTGTGAATCTTATATTAAGCAGAATAAAGCTCAGTCAGTTGATGAAATTTGACAGATCTGAATAAATAAAAAGTATAATATGTTATGATAACTTGACAATTTGCTGATTGTACATACAATAATAGACTATTTTTCTCTGAAAACACATAATTATCACTTTTGTTTTATTGGCGAGAACATTTTTTTATTTTATTTACACACGAACTCTCAAGATTCGCAGTCTATGGTCAATTTAAAACTGTAGGCTCACACAAAGGAATCACTTTTTACAGCCATAAGAATTCAAGTCGGCATGTTTAACAAAACCTTAACATTCAAATACAAATAAAACTGTTTTTAAAGTAGAGCGCGTTGTAAATGTTGTTTTTTTTTTGTATCCTTTGGAGTGGCAAACGTTTACAGTCATACCTGAAATCAAGAATAACATACCATAAAGATATTTTTATATTTTTCTTTACAGTGTCCTCTTTCGAACCGCATTAAACTGGTTGTATGTAAAATGGTAAATGGCAGGGGAGCCCAACAATATTACTGAACTCTATACTCCATAACTTTTTTCGCATTATGTATGAACTTGTAATAAAATCTCTTTGGCTACTGTATCTGGCTGATTTTGGTATCATTATAAAGTTTTGATTCTACAGAAAATAATTCCAAATTCCAATTAGAAAAATGTGTGAATTTCATTTGTTTTTCTTACTGTCAAGATGAGTTAATATAATGACATACACCCCTGCAAACTTCTTGAGCATCGACCATAGACAGGGAAGCCTATAATACTGCGCAGTAACAATTATTTATTTGTCTGTGGTTGTGCTCAAGAACTTTGCTACTAGCTATAGTAAAACTAATTTTCCAGCTTTATCTGGGGTTGGTCGATAGCACCCATGAATCCACATTGGGCCCGCATATTAGGTTATAGAATGTTTCACTTCAGTCTGAGATTATATAAAAATTAAACCCTATTTTCCTTGACATGTCGTAACTTGAGAACGTTTACTAATTTCATCCATTTTTTTTATTTTTAATTGAAATTTTTATCATTCATGGCTGCACATTTTTTCATTCATGTGCAAGTCTCATTATATTTTTATTAAAAAAATCAGACCTTATTAACAAGCATTGCCCCTGGGTTCAATTCTCAACCAAGGAAATATTTTTTTATTAATGATTTTTAAAGGTTTACTTGTATCGTGATTTCATTTCAAAAAGATAGTGTCTTCTTCTTTGTTTTTTTAAGTTTCGCGATACTAATTTTAACGGGACAAAAACGCTTAAGAAATCTAGTGTATTACAAAAAAAATATGATAAAACTGCTCACCTCATTCTACAGCAGACACATCCATATTCACATTAACATAGCTGGCCCCCATAAATTCTCTGTGACGTGTGGAAATCACATGCTTCTTTGCATTCTCTCCTTCCGGCACATCGGCGTCACAAATACCGCACTTCAATTTCCCAAAATCATAATATACATACTTATTCCTAGCCAACATACTTATATTATGCTTCAATTCCAAATAGAAACGGAATACGCTTTCGGAAGCAGGTTTCCTTTCAAAATGTTCAGCGTAGATAAGATGAGCGAGTAGAGATCTTATAGAATTGAACACTTCCTTGCAAGCTACGCAGTTGAAACTGTTGCCTTCGTTGTGGAGGATGTAATTGCCGTGCATATAAACGCTTATAATATCACCTTTGTTCTCATTAACTCTAAATTCAGCGATAGAATTCTGGTGTTCAATATTAGTCAGCACGTGGTTCACCGCCTCTTGGTAATCCTGGAAGGTGACGTCGCATATATCACATTTAATGACGTCACCCGATGCGATTTTGTTCGCAGACAGAAGCTCGCAGTCGATCACGTCAGCGTACAAAGCCGTACGAACGAATTTGGAAACAGTTTCAATATGCCCCGGACTCTCAAAGTGCTGAACGATGGCGGAGAACGAGGGAACAGCTACGTAGTCAGGACAAAGCATGCAGACATAGTAATTGCCGAAGCTAGCGTAGTATTCCGACGGGCGACAGTGGTTCTTGTACAATAAGGCCAATTTGAAAGGCGCGGCGTTCCTCAAATGCTTCTTCTGACGAATATGATTAAAGAGCACCTGTCGGGGGCCCTTCAAAGTCATATCGCAGCAAGTGCAGTAGTTGGCGATCTTGCCCGAAGGTTTTATGAAGTTCTCAATGATGACGTGGTCTCTGTTGTTCTGAGGCTTACCTACGCTCGCCAGAAACTTGGTCCAGTCGAGATCTTTCGAGCCCCATTCATCGGGAACCGTGCCTTCAGGGTTGTTTGCCCTCATTCGCCTATACAACTTATCCGATAAGCGAGCTAAGTGGTTCTCATCGAGAATGTGGACAGTTGTAGCTTCAATAGAATCAATCGGGACTTTGCAAAGGCCACACTTGAAACCGCTCGCGTCTTCCATAACATCGTGCCCGTAGAGGAATTTACGATTTAAGTCCTTAATCTTTTCCACGGACCGTTCGTCCATCACGAAAGGTATGAGCTTGTCTGCTTGCAGTATGCAGGATAAATTATGAATGTGAGTCTCGCTGAACACGTGATTCAAGACGCTATCGTAACGAAATCTCAGCGTATAGTATTCGCAGGCCATACAGAAAAAAGCAAGTTTTCCGGTGCGGTCGTCGACTAAAGACAACAGCTTATGATTGCCAAGCAATTTAAGAATGAAATTCTCGATAGGACCATAGTATCGGTATTTCTTAACTTGATTCTTAACCGGCTTCTCTTGCGTCTGATCGTTTTCATCGTTATCGATGTTCTTGTTAGCGTCCGCCGCGAAATTTTGATACACGTTGTCCTTAATGCTCATGATTATAGGGGCGACTGCGCTGGTCTGAGTGGAAAAATCTATGGTGCAGACATCTTTGCACAACTTGTCGTATGCAGTCTGATAGAATTTTAAAGCGGCGTCGATGCTCGCTTCAGAGTTGTCCGGAAGATGTCGGATCAGCGACGCTTCCAACTTAGCTGAGAAGGCACGATCCAATTTCTCCGCTGGCTTAACCATATTCATGATCTGCTCCAGACTCTGGGCTGGCGTTTCACCACACTCCAAAGCGGACATCCTTCGCGACATGTTTGGCAAGATAATAGGCTCCGCTACGTCAACGCTTTCGCGCTTCAGCTTCGGCTGATGCACTTCCAGATTGAAATGCTTCTGGAGGCTCTCCATCAACGGTTCTTCGTCGTTCAATTCTATTTCGATATTGCAGTCGATGCAAATATGCACCTGTTTCGCATTCTCAGCAGATAAGAATTCCGCTTTAAGCAGCTCAGGTACTTCGCTAACGGGAAGACTGTTAAAGCGTTGTCTTTGTAGACCGCTTTTCTTTTCCGTAGTAAATATGTATTCAACTTCCACCCCTTCTCGTTTCTGAAGAAACACTCTTCTATGAGTCTCGTTCAAGTTTTTTAAGTAGTTAGTGAGGGCGGATTTCTCCTGCGTCAAGGGGTGGTTGATGACATTGCCGAAATGTCTCGCCAGACGTTTCACATCGTCTATTTTGCGAAAAGACAGCAATGTCAGCTCCGACAACCCCTTTGCTACATCATCAACAGATTGGTTAGCCATTCTGGCGGTCAAGTAAAATACTCTTGAAAAATATAATCTGTACAACGATTTTATAGATTCTTAGAACTATTAAATGACCTGTCTTGGGGTTAGCCAAGATTTGTAAGTCGGGTGAGACGAAATTATGAAGCGGAAGTATATTTTTTTCTAGCCCGTACGATGTCCGAAATGTCGTTAGTTGATTTGTGCGTGAAGTGGTGAAACGTTTTTGATATCCTCAAAGAGAGATTTGTCAAATTTTGTTTTGATTGAAATTAAAATCTTTTCTTGGTCATAGACTATCACCGCATTTCAAGATCTGAAACAGGGAAAACAGGTGATTATAATATTAATATTATAATCATTATTAATATTATTAATATTATAATATTAATATTATAATATTAATAATATAATAAATAGACCTTCTCAATTTTTGGAAAAATTGTGTTCTAACAGTTAACTCATAGAATAGGCTAGTTGACTCATGAAAAATTGCACTATACAAATGTTTATTTGTTATAATTTTTGGTATGAGGAACCTTAATACATCGATTTCATTTCATAAAAATTAGAAGATGGCTGTAGTAATTTAATTTGAAAAATAGTTTTTTAGCCTATGCTTTTTAAACACTAAAAACGATGTCCACCATGATTGTGACGTCAAAAAACATAGTAAACAACTAAACGTCATTGTCGTGTTACTGTGGTGTCTTTCGTCGGATTAAAATATATCTAAAAACTCTTATATCTTGTAGAAAAGTTTCCGTTTATTGGTTTTGTTGTCTAAATTAATGCTGGACGCCGGATTTGTGAAAGCAGAAACGACAAAACTCTTTGACTTAGTAGGTACATTCATAACCTTCAAAATTGTATTTTTAAACTTTTATTTAAAGTTTTTATTTATTTAATGAGTACTTGCATTAAAATGATCTTTGCTAAAAGAAATGACTTTCAGCAGATAAAATTACAGGATTTAGCAAGTTTTAAACATATGTTCATGTCTAGGTATGTGTATTTCTCTACGCAATTTACACAACAACTTTTCTGGAATCTTTAACGATGTGTTTCTACATTTCCGTTTAATACAATCATAATTACTATATTTATAAATCATGGTTTTATAATACACAGTCAGGTCATAAGTATTGTCACACAGTAAAAACTTTTCTTTTAGAATGCTGGCCACAAAAAAGTTTATTGAATTCGAATTTCGAATTGTTCATGAAAATAAAAATGTATACTTTATAGAATTTTACTCATTTTTAAAATATGGAGTGGACGCTTAAAGAAGACCGTGTTGCAGTTATTGCGTTGCATCGTTGCGGTTACGCGCCAATTCAAATTTTTGACATACTGAAAATTTTGAATATAACCAAAAGATTCGTTTATCGTAACATCAAACGATACAATGAAGACTCTAGTGTAGATAACAGGTCAAGAAGTGGTCGCCCTCGGTCTGTTAGGACTCCAGCAGTGATAAAAGCTGTGAAGGCGCGAATTCAAAGAAATCCCAAACGCAAGCAGAAACTGTTGGCCCTTCAGATGGGGTTAAGCAGAATCACGGTGAAAAGGGTGTTAAATGAAGACTTAGGGCTACGGGCATATCGAAGAAATACAGGACATTGTTTGAAAGCTCGTCTAAAGGACCTGAGACTGAAGAGATGCCGCGCTTTGTTGAAGAGGTACGCGGGAAAAAAATCGTGAAATGCTTTTTTCGGATGAACAAATTTTACCGTAGAATAGAGCTACAACAAACAAAATGATAAGGTGTACGCACACAGTAGTGAAGAAGCGAGCAACCGTATTCCGCGTGTCCAACGAGGTCATTTTCCTTCCACGCTCATGGTATGGTCGGGAGTTTCTTATTGGGGCTTAACTGAGGTACATTTTTGTGAGAAAGGTGTAAAAACGCATTCGTTTTTACACCTTTGCAGTTGTGTATCAAAATACAGTCCTGACGAACCTTGTGGAACCTGTTTCTCATACCATATCCAATAACAGGCACTGGGTATTCCAACAAGATTCGGCGCCAGCTCATAGAGCGAAGAGCACACAAGACTGAAAATCGACTGTGAAATCGACTTCATCCGGCACGAAGACTGGCCCTCCTCCAGTCCAGATTTGAGTCCGTTGTAAATTACAAGATATGGTAACACTTGGAGAAAAAGGCGTGCTCAAAGCCTCATCCCAATTTGGAGTCACTCAAGACATCCTTGATTAAGGCAGCCGCCGATATTGACATGGACCTCGTTCGTGCTGCGATAGACGACTGGCCGCGCAGATTGAAGGCCTGTATTCAAAATCACGGAGATCATTTTGAATAAACTTTATTGTCTTAAGAATCTATGTTTTGTTAAGCTCATTTTGGTATATAAATGGTTGCATAATGAATAAACTTGTTTCAATTATTTTATATTAAACATGTGACAGAATTTATGCCCTGACTAGGTATAAATTCAGATTATTTCCTACGTGCTTCCGAATGTTTGTTTACGATTTTGTTGACGTCATAGCATAAATAATCTATAGACTAAAATGGCCGACAGCGTATGTCCATGAAAATTCTATTTTAAAATAAAAGTTTTGTAGCATTCTTGGTCAAAAAAAAATACTATAATTTTTTTTCGGTCTAATAGAACAATTATTAACCATTTAAAACATATTTCCACAAAGTGTCAACTAGCCTATTAGTTGGACTCTATTTCCCTATTAATAAACAAACTATAAGATCACATTCAGATGAGAGGCGGTAGGCGCGCGTTAGGTTTTTGTGTAGTGTCAACATGATGCGCGCTGAAAACAACAATTTGTTCGTAGAACATGAGAACAACTCTTTCCATGCACGTCTCCTTAAGAAGTTGCTATAATAGTCAAAGTGTGGCATATACCATATCTATGGGTTTTTTTATTTTATTTATTTATTTGATCACCAACATAATAAACATTGACACAACAATCTAGCAGGTAATGATAAAATACTTAAGCTTAATGTTATTACAATTATAGATGAAGACCACATGCGTTATGGAATAGAAGCAACAAATGCTGGTAAACTGTTGATGAAAAAGCCTTTAAAAGCTTTGTAAGATTAAAAAAAAATACATATAATCAACAATGTCCCGGTTAAAATCAATGCATTATAAGAAGAGTTATAATCGAATAAAGTCAAGTTATATATATAGTAAAAAAATAAATAATCGAAATTATTTAGTCACAATAAATTACTTACAGATAAAATTAATTTATAGAAATAATAACACAATTAAAATCAAATTACAATAAAATTAATTAAAAAAAGATCAATAAATAGATCTATAATAAAATATACCTTCTCCATTTTCTCTAATCTGATTCAATCGATCTCTGAAACACATCTTGAAAGCGCGCGCAAACGCGCGCTGACAAGTGTCGGGCGTTATGCAAGATTTACACTACCCAATTTTAAGGGACCCTTACCCTGACTAAGGGTGGGGTAATGTGAGCTAGGGAGTTAGTGTCGCCGCACACGGGCGCCACGCCACAGCCACAAACGCCGCCACGAGAAGCTAGAAGCGGTTACTAAAGTGGCTGAAGCGCGCAACAGCGGCCGACTAAGGTAAGAGAGAGAGGGATGGGGAATCGCGCGAGGGACGTGTGGCGGCGTTTTGTATCGGCTCATTAAGTGGCCGGTGCGGGCCACAAGAAGCGAGCAACGACGATTTGTAGCGTGTGGCGGCCTCCGGCGTACCGTGTGTGGCGAGGCCATATAAAATGTATGAAAACTACAACTAATATCGTGGTGACGGCGTTTTGTGGTTGTGGTCGGTGACCCGTGTGCAGCGACACTAAGGGATCTAGGGCGATCGGCGCGGGCCCTTAAAATTGGGTAATGTGAAGCCCGTTTTAGTTCAGCGTTGAACCTGTATCCATAAAAACGCGGGTCAGCATCTGAACGTACTCTAAGTTTGAATAAATTACTCTATGTTTTGTGTAGGTCTGTACATCTATATATATAAAACTCAAAGGTGACTGACTGACTGACATAGTGATCTATCAACGCACAGCCCAAACCACTGGACGGATCAGGCTGAAATTTGGCATGCAGGTAGATGTTATGACGAAGGCATCGCAAGGATTTTGATCAATTCTACCCCCAAGGGGATAAAATAGGGAATGAAAGTTTGTATGAAACTTTGTCAATTTTAAACCGATCGGGCTGAGGCATTGTCCTAATACAACGCGATAACGCGAATGAGCGATGCGATCATCGTACGAGTCGACGATCAAACATATTGATCTAGAAAAGGTGTCCTAATAGGCGATCGCGCGATGCATTCGCGCGACTAAAATGTTTAAAAATCTATTCGCGCGATCTTAGTTCGCGCGAACGCGCAATCAAACCTATTAATGATGAATAGGTGTCCTAACTGAAGTTCGCGCGATGATCGCGTCGCGTCGATAGGAAGCGGGGAGAGGGGCAGGGCTAACCCGTTCCGTATTCGCGTTCTATTAGGACATCCAGAACGCGATCACGCGATGGTCGCATCGTTTAAACGCGCGATGATCGCGTTATCGCGTTGTATTAGGACAATGCCTAAGACTTTGCATGCAAGTATAAGAAGAATCATAGATGAATGTCATTGTTTATAATACAAGCCAGAGAACAAAAACTGTACTCTACACCGAAACGAAGCGAGGACGGGCCGCTAGTTGAATTATAAATGCCATTTCAGTGATATGAACAAAACATGGCGTAACTAGTCGAAGTTTATTCCTCGTTTATTAGTAACGCTAAAATCAGCTTTTTCTGACTCCCTCCCCCCCTATTGTTACGCTGTGTCACACTTCTGTGACGCCTCTTGAAATATTCCGTCACAAAAACGGAGACCCCCCCCCCCCCCAAGTATGATTAATTTCAATTGATAGGACACAAATTTTAAGAATTTAAATATTTAGTTTTATAATAAAATTTAAATATATAAATAAATATCTTTTCATAACAAATAAATAAATCATATTTCTATATATGTTTACTAAATACGAAATAATTGATTTTCTATCTTGATGAAAATTGAGAAAGAAAAATAGTTGAAAGAAATACTAATTTATTTTTTTTTAATGAACGACGAACGTCACGTTGCCGTAGACCCCTCCCCCCCCCCTGTATGCGAACGTATTTTATGAACGGCCCCTTATTAATAACCGAGGAATAAGCTTAGACTAGTTACGCCGTGTTTCGTTTATTACACTCAAGTGTCATTTGTAATACAATAAACAGAGACAAAACATAGAGTAACTACACCAAGCTTAAATCTAAAGAAAACATAACTAGAAAATATTCCACGCGGACCAGGCAGCAGGCGGGACTCGAACCAGCACCCTTCGCAATCCGGGCGAATGCACTTAGACTGTTTTACTACTATCACTCAAAAGTTAGTTAGGTGTAATTTCACACTAGTTTAAGAAGGGAACTTCATAATAATTAAACAGTGCCCTAATTTTTATGTATTATGCGATTCAAATAAGAATAGGAAAGCTAATGACCTGCAACTGTCAAATGTCGCTTGAAAAGTACGGTTTGCATAAAAATCTTGGAATACTTTTTTTACGCACTTAGCTAATCTTAGAATAAATACAAAACATTTGTAAACAAAAGAAGGACATAAATCAACTGTAACGTAAAGAAAATGAGTACTGGATAAGGGAGGTATAAGAACATTAGTTTTATTATAAATACAGGTAAAAAAATACCCTTTTTTATTTTTACATGAAGTTGTCTTTTTAAAACCTACAATAATCGATATTTTATTTTATATCCGAAAGCAGCAGTGATGATGATGACTTCTTCGACGGTAGTGCAGAGATGAGCGGAATTAAAGAGCTAGGTTCTGATTAATGTTTTTTCTCACTCAAAATGAATATTATAAAAAAATCTGATATTTATTCTCACTTAATCTTTGTAAAGAAGTTTTATTCAAGAAAACAAAACAAAACTTTTTTGCTCACTCTACCTAACTGGTTTGAATTGACGGCTATGACGTCACTAAATGGCGCGCAGTCAGTCCTATTCTTAGTTGAATCGCATTACAGTACAACCCATTGTTTTTAACTGCCTCAAGTGTATGCTGTCACTTTATTTGCAATAACCAACACTTCGTTGAACAAAGCATCAAATACATTTGAAGTCTTGGAATGTGACCATAAATCTTCATCTTTAATTGGAATCTTATAGCTAAGACCCCACCTAATGTTAAGTATAAGTGGAGTCTCTTTGCGAAAACTGCTAATGCGACAGAAGTGTTCCAGCCATCCTCACCTCTTGGGCCTGAACCTAATGCCCCTACCCAGTGAATCTTACCCTACTAACAAAAATTCAACACCACCACAATGTAGCAGTGTTTCCACAATGAGGGGAAATTCCCCTTTTAAGGGGAAATTAGGGTCCAGTGGGGAAGAAAAAGGGGAAAGAAATGAAAAGGGGAAATTATGGGTAAAGCCTAGCCTAAAATAATGCGGCACGGATTTTTTTTTATGGACTATACTGTGGACTAGTGTTGCCATATAAAAGAAACTGTGGCAACACATGCAGATTTTATATATTTTATTTATCTGTTATAGAATAAGATAGATTAAGACCTTTTTTTTCTTTAGTTACTACACTAGTGCCAAATCTAAAAACTACAGCGGAATAATTTTTGAGGGGAAAAATGTTCTAAGAATGGTAAATCTGAATTGAGGTTCACAGTGTTAAAATTACCAAATTTATAAATTAAAATCCATGCCAAAACCTGACTGTAGGCATGTCATTCAGTTTAATACAGCTTGTGTAAAATTCAATTTTATGTAATTATACTGTTTTGTTTACCAGCTCCTCATTTATTTTTATAATGTGGTTTTCTACAAAATAGATATTATGACCAATGTCTTTTTAAAATGCTCATGATATATTGGAGCTGAATCTGGAATGAATCGCACAACCAAAAAATAAATAAAGAACTAATCTATATGTGGTAGCTTATCAATGGCATTTATTAATGTTTTTATCTGCTATTTTTATGTTAATAAGCTGTTAGCTGCCCTGAGATAATAAATAAAATAAAATAAAAGGAGAGACTGCTCACAAATTTAGGTTTAAATAGCTTTGTTCGCCTCGAGAACCTTGTATTTAAATCGAATAATGTACAAACTATCACAAATTTTATATGATGTAAACAAATTTTAATTATAGATTTATCCTTATTTGTATTGTGGCATGGAGTTGTGATAAAATGTACTGCAATATTTTCGCTACGTCGCTTGCACAAAGTTATTCATTGCAAATACAAATATTCCGAATTTAGATACAGAAAAAGCTGACAGTGAGAAGGGCATAACTAAATTTTTGTCACAACAATAACAAGTGTCACACACCAGTCACAACCCATCAAAGATATTATAATATTTCATATGAGATATATTTTCATATCATAATTTAGTAATATACCAAGTGATTTCAGTTTTTATATTAACATACTGAATTTCCATGTCAAAAATATGAAATAGTATATCATAAGATTATCACTTACAGTAAGGTTCTAAGACAACATGGTGTCTTTACTGCTATGATACTCTATGACACCTTAAAACCTTTGCCATGTGTAACATCTTTAAAACTGAAGAGGAGGAAATTAATAGTGAAAGTTCAAATGGGAAAAAAAATAATAGCCTTTTGTTCAGAAGTAGTTAATACATCAATAGATACTTGAAGTTGAGAATTATTTTGTGCCTATTTTTGCCCTAGAAGGACAGATGCCATTCTCCGATCTAAATTCAACAACTTATATTTTAAGCCTAACTAATAGAAGTGAATTAGTTTATAGAAACTTACTGCCTTGTCAGAATAAATATTAAGTTTATAACAAACTAGCGGCTGCCTGTGGCTTAGTGCTCGTAAACTTAATTTTTTTCTGTTTTAAAAGTAACTAAACTGTCTCAATCTAGGTAATTAACTTTATGAGTACTATAATTTCATCAAAATCCGTTCGATAGTTTATGTGTGATTGAGTAACTAACATCCAAAGTTTTGACATTCATATTATAAATTACACAAAAATAATGTTCTACGTAAGAGATTGACTGTAGAAACAAGCTGATCCAGACTAGAATACTTTAAATATTAAAATCAATGTCGCAAAGTGTGATCGCATTTAAGAAACCGGCACAGAGTTGAATTTCAAATAATACAGGCAAAATGTAAAGAATTAATGTGGGTGGTTTCCAAGGATTTTCACTTATTCATGATTTTTTTCATCAATATGTAATGCAGATAATGTAAAACACATTTGAAGATTTATATTCTTATATACTGAGTCTCCATAGTCCATTTTAAACTGGTACTTAAGTAGTCTTTTCAAATATGTGATGAAAATTTTAAGAAAACGAAAAAGTGTTAATAATATTTGTTGAAATTTTGAGTTGACCTTTAGCATAGTGAAAACTGATTTATTCCATCCATAGGGAAGGCCTGTGCCCCAGCAGTGGGGACATTAATAGTCTGATGATGATGGTGAAAAACAGTTTTATGTTTATCCATTGAACAGAAGTAATGAAAAATAATAAATTAATTAAAATGATAATTCAACATGAAAACCTACCTACCTATTTACATTTATGACATGAAAAATTTATTTTACTGCTAAACTCGCTGATCAGTCTGGTCTTTTCAGATTTAAAACCTAGCAACTCTACCATATACTTTATTTAAGAAGTTAGTTACTACCTACCTTCCTACAGTAACAAAATAATTGAGATAAAGAATAATGTTTCCTTCACCAATAAGTAGGTACTATACATCAAACTTAACATGAGGCAAACTCTGTCGCGACTTAAAAGAACTGTTATACCGTGACATAGAAAACAGATAATTTGACACAAAAAAAAAACTACCAATACACAACATTCCTGAAAGTACCCACAAAAGCTACAAAGGCCTCTACAACAAAACACATTTAATGTTATTGTGAACACGTCATTAATATTATAATTGCTGGGTTATAAAAACAGAAACCTTGCGGTTGTAAATTAGTTATTTACGTTAGACAACCAGCAAATGTAGGTTATGGTGATATCGCATTTCGTTGGAAACCGTACCAGTCTTTGAACATTACATCTATGTATTACTTATTGTATATAGAAAAGTTATATTCACCTGTTAGTCTTGATTTTGTGCATGGCAGTTATCACCGCCTTGTTGTTTTAATAACGTACGGGCCGTGGTGACAGCGGCAACATGATAAGTAAATGGATGAGTGTATTGTTGAATATGACATTAGAATGAGAATGAGTTTTTTTTTTTAAGTTTTACGGCTGTGAAATTCTCCATTTGGGCCTAGAATGAGATTTAACTTTTTTGGTAATTTATAGAGCTATAACAAACCGTATATATTCGTTTCTAGTGTGTAGTGGTTTTCGAATTACAGAGCATAATGCGACTCAGTGGCGCACAATGCCGAATTATGCTGATGCTTAATTGGAACGTGAATTAGTTTTCAAATGCACCAGCAGAGTGCGCTAAGTTCAGTGTTGAAAAAAAAAGTCAATGTTTGTACCTTCATCCATTTTTATATTTATTTTTAACGCAGTTTGAATTAACTTTGATTATTTAAAAAAAAACTATAATGAAACGAAAGTTTAAATATTTTTTCAACAATAAATAATATTACTAACGATAACATATACATAAAACATTTCGATCAATGCCAACTTAAAGAAAAAACACTTGTTAATTTTCTGTCTCTGAGTTGGTACGATTGCACGCATCACTTTGAGAGTGCTCGATTGTGCGAAGCGTTGCTGTAGTTGAAACACTCAACGTTAAGCATTATGTCGCATAATGCGCTATAATGCTGTAATTGGAAAGCTACCTGTGTCGTACTGATGATGTCAATTTGATTCTGTGTATGGACGTACGAATTAAACTGTTGATGCTTGAATTGAAACGGTTCGCTCATCTTGCTGATTTCGGTTTTCATTTTCAATTACTGAGAGTCGGTACCAAAATTTTGCACGCGTATTTATTGCGGGTAAAATTTTCAGATAAATGTCTACGCTACAACCCGAAAAACGTTTGAGGCTATGTAAAATCTGTAAAAAGTTTTACTTGCATCAAGGTTTCATAAAACCACAACATTTTTTTATTTCGTCTATTTTTCAATTTGGTTATTGTGTGTTTCGGTTGTTTATTTAATGAGTCATAGTCGAGTTGGTAAGAAAAAAATTGTGTGTGTCAGCTCCGACGCACGACTGGAGTTTACTCCTTAAGTTCGATCGATAGTCTAACCAGACGCTCAAAGAGTTTATTTAACTTAAAAAAGATTGATACTGTATGAAAGGGTAAATTAACAAATTAATGAAAATAATATATAAATATATATTTATTCATTTCATATAAATTTATTATAACTAATCGAAGAAATATTTTACATTAAACTTTTTACAATAGTCAATTTCAGATGTGCATAAATGTGTGGCGTTTCCGAACGTCACGATATTTTCGTTATGTTGGCAACCACGCCGCAATGATCGGGTGGTTGGCAATAGAACGTCACAGCGATCTCTCTTGCTCAGGCGCGACTCTTCGTTACAGACGTATCATGTTGTAACTATACTGTGTACCTAGAATACGTAACTCAATCTTATATTGTGAACGTGCATACATTAAATATATTCTACGAAGTTCTGTGTTTCGTTTCTTCGCGCCTGCGTTCCTCAAGAAAAGGGAAGGCCGCCTCCGCCGGCAGTCATTCCCATATTGGTGACCCCGATAGAAGACCGAACGCGTTTTTCATCATCGCAACACGCCGCCATTTTAGCTTCGATGCGCACCACGACGAACGACGATAGACAATTACGCCACGCTCGCTCGTAGGTACTGCCTACCTATGAACAGCGTCCGCAATTGCAAACAACGCAACGAGACCTCATAACGTTTCCTGCGAGTCGAGCGACTCCGAACGACCCGGTGAACGTGTCACCCGACATCGCGTCGCCCGACCGAATCTACTATCGATTTGTGTATGTGTGTGTGTGAGTATGCGCTTCTTCGTAAAGCGATTTCGCGACGATAAATTGCGCACGCTTCAATCAGTGCAATTCCTGTTTTGGCTACAAATTGTGCTCGTGCATCAACTTTGCTAAGCTTCCATTTCGAAATTATCATTAATCCAAGCTTTCAACTAACGCCCGCTATTTTTTCTTCTTTGCATTACTGCTGTGAAGTACTGTGACTTATTCGGTTCCACTCACCGCAAATTCCGTGCAGTGACGTCATTGAACTAACGACATATGAGATAAAATAGACCTAAGTGACAGTGTCATTAGTGATTCAAGGAATAGAGCGACCAACAAGGTTTGCAAATCACTGGCAAAACAGGTACCTATAGACTTTTATTTCTTATTTTATGCATCAAGATTATTTAACATTCTACTGCAACTTAATCTATTAATGTATGTTAATCCAACTAATGTTTACTTTTCACTTTTCATGGTACTGAGTTAGTTTTCAAACTTACATAACTTATTCAATAATTAGATTTATGTTTTACAAGATTAAATATAAAAATTTAACAAGACGTAAATTGTTATTTCATAAGATTATAATATTCTTGCCTAAGCTAATTAAGTTAGATATCATCAAGTAAGCGATTTTTTTTTTGTCTGTCACATTTCATTTCAATATATTTTTGTATAACCAATATACAAGCTAGCAATTTTTATTTTAAACAATTTATTATTTACTATTTGTTGCTGTGTATTTTCCATTTTAAGCTAATATTGCAACTAAGGCCATTGATTGATTTTTTTCCACGACTTACTAATATATTTTTAATAAGTAAGTACTTTCTTTTAAATATCATTTTATCTTTGTTAACGCATTGACCAATGGTGTAGCCTTGTAGTTTTTTTTGCGGTGTGCATAATTTTAATTTTATGTTGTTTACTATCTTTTGTAATTTTTCAGTTGTAAATAATTATAAGGTATAAAAAAAAACTTATCAAACTGCTATTTAAACTTGGGGTATGACTATTTCTATATAATTTAACCAATCTCTACTTGCACATTTAACAAGTATTGCATTTTTTTTTGTGCATAACCACTTACCACGGAGAAGGATTTTCTTTTATTGTTTCTTTCTCTTCCTTTTTATATAAATAATTAATATCTCAGCAGTGGGTAATAATGGACGAAGACATCCAAATTCTCCGAGAACGGTTAAACCAACTTGAGCAGCAAAACGCAGCCTTGATGGCCGACGTTGCTGCCCAACACGAAGCGAAACCACTTTGTGTGTCCAAGGTATCAGTGAAGCTACCTCCATTCTGGGCAGACCGACCAGCTGTTTGGTTTGTGCAAGCTGAAGCCCAATTCCACCTGGCTGGGATTACCACAGAGCAAACCAAATTTAACCACGTGTTGTCTGTTATTGATCAACGCGTCATTGGGGAAGTTGAAGATATCGTACTCAATCCACCTGCTACAGGAGCCTACAACAGACTCAAAGAGGAACTCATTCGCAGACTTACAGCGTCTGAGGAGCAGCGATTACACCGTCTCCTTAGTGATGAGGAGCTTGGAGACCGCAAGCCATCCGCATTCCTCAGACACCTTAGGTCCCTTGCTGGCACCTTAACCAAGGATGTCAACATACTTCGCCAGCTCTGGTTGCGTCGTCTGCCTAACCACGTACAAGCGATCCTAGCCGCTCAAGCTGACCTCAACTTAGACAAAGTCGCGGAGCTCGCGGATAGAATCATGGAGCTGCCTACTTCTCCCCATCATGTGGCCAGCGTGAATGAACCCTGCTCTACCCTTACTCTCACCTCGCTTGCTGAGTGTGTTGACCGGCTTTCGAAGCAAGTTGCAGCCCTCACTTCTAGTAACCGGCAGCGAGGTCGGTTCAGGGGCCGCAGTTTTTCTCCGAACTGGAGGGCCCGCAGTTCCACACCAGCCGAAAGCACATCCAGACTATGCTGGTACCACAGCAAGTTTGGTACCGAAGCGATAAAGTGTATTCAGCCATGTAATTTTAAACCGGCTCAGGGAAACCTGAACAGCAGCAGTCAGTAAAGGTGGACACGGACTGCTGCTCAATCAACTCCACCGGCCGCCGCCTTTTTGTGACTGATACTACTTCCAAGCGCCAGTTTCTCGTCGACACAGGCTCGGATCTGTGTTGTTACCCACACCGTTGGCTACCTAATCAGAGGGTTTCCTGTGACTGGGAGCTCAGCGCCGCAAATGGCAGCACAATCAAGACCTTCGGTCTAATCACCCTTAAATTGGATTTCGGACTGCGAAGGGACTTCACATGGCAGTTCGTGGTCGCGGAAGTAGATTCAGCCATTATTGGATCCGATTTCCTCGCCTATTTCCATCTACTTCCCGACTGCACCAGCAAGCGTTTACTCGATGGAAAGACTGGGCTCTCCTGTGTAGCCGCTGTATCTTCTGTTGACCAGCCAAGCGTCAAAACAGTAATCGGAGAAGACTCGAAATTTAGACATATTCTGTTGGAGTTCCCCAAAATTATGCAGCCCCCAGGCACACCTAGAGTCACTAAACACGATACTGTGCATCATATCCTCACCACTGACGGTCCACCTGTTTCCTGTCGACCACGCCGCCTCGCGCCCCATAAACTCGCCGCGGCGAAGAAAGAGTTTGAGGCCATGCTGCAATGCGGCACTGCTAAGCCATCAAAGAGTCCCTGGAGTTCTCCATTGCAGATGGCAGTAAAAAAAGACAGCACTTGGCGACCATGTGGCGACTACCGTACGCTCAACGCGCGAACTATTCCGGATCGATACCCTGTCCCGCACATTGCAGATTTCACGCATCAACTCGCGGGATGCACCATCTTCAGCGTGCTGGACCTTGTTAAGGCCTACCAACAGATACCAGTAGCCACCAGGGATGTGTGTAAAACGGCCATCACCACCCCATTCGGACTATTCGAGTTTCCCTTCATGTCGTTTGGTCTGCGCAATGCTGGCCAAACCTTCCAACGCTTCATTAACGAAGTGCTCCACGGTCTCACCTTCTGTTTTGCTTATGTTGACGACATTCTCGTTTTCTCCCAGAATTCCGTACAACCCAACCACCCGCCGAACGCATCCAGGCCATTAAAGAGTTCCCACCGCCGAAAACCGTACAAGGGTTACGCCGTTTTCTCGGTATGCTTAACTACTACCGTCGATTCCTTCCCCAGGCAGCGAAAATCCAGGCCCCCCTCAACGACGCTATTGTCAGCATCAACGGCAAAGGTGCGAAACCTGTGCCATGGACACCCGAACTGCACAAAGCATTCAAATTGTGCAAGGAGAGCCTTTCCACGGCAACCTTGCTTGCTCATCCCATCTGCAATGCTCCATTGGGTCTCTTCACAGATGCATCCAGCATCCATGTCGGTGCCTGTCTTCAACAACGTGTTGGTGATGCTTGGCAACCACTCGGTTTTTTCAGCAAGAAGCTAAGTCCACGACAATCTCAGTGGCCTGCATATTATAGGGAGCTACTGGCGGTATATGAAAGTGTGCAGCACTTTCGACACATCTTGGAAGCCCAACATGCAACCATATACACCGACCACAAGCCCCTCCTGTTCGCATTCAAACAGCGCCGTGAAAAACTTCCGCCTGTCCAACTAAACCAGCTTAGTTTCATCAGCCAATTTACCACCGATGTAGTTTATATCAAAGGGGAAGACAACGTAGTCGCTGACGCTCTCTCTCGCGTTGAAATGATCTCCCTGGAAGAAGACTCTGCTGCACTTGCCATCTCGCAGCAACACGATGACGAGCTGCGCAACATCGTTCCCCAATCATCTCTAAAAATCGAAAAGATCCCAATACCTGGAACTGATTTGGACCTTCTCTGCGACATGTCCACTGGACGACCACGCCCCTATATCACCCCGTCATTCCGACGTGCGATATTTCAAAAACTGCACAACCTCAGTCACCCTGGCGCACGGGCAACCGCTCGTTTGGTGTCTGAACGCTTCGTCTGGCCTTCAGTCAAAAAAGACTGTCACAAATGGGTACAATCCTACATACCTTGCCAAAAAAGTAAAGTCACCAGACACAATGTCTCGCACACTGGTCACTTCAGCAATCCATCAGCCCGCTTGCAACATGTCCATATCGACATCATCGGCCCTCTGCCGATATGTAAAGGCTACTCTTACTGTTTAACTGCCATCGACCGTTACACCCGCTGGCCAGAGGTTTGGTCGATGGTTGGCATAACTGCTGAAGAGGTTGCCGACACTTTCATGCAGGGTTGGATTTCTCGTTTTGGGGTTCCCTGCAACATCACCACAGATCAAGGGCGTCAATTTGAGTCCGATCTTTTCAACCGACTCCTACACCACTGTGCAGTGAAACGTACCAGAACTACAAACTATCACCCGTGTGCTAACGGCATGATCGAACGTGTACATCGCCAATTAAAAGCGGCCCTCATGTGTCGCTGTGACTCTTGGCTCTCATCACTTCCCCTCGTCCTGCTCGGAATGCGTTCCACCTTCAAAGAGGACTTGAAATCCTCCACAGCGGAGATGCTCTACGGTGAACCTCTACGCTTACCCGGTGAGATGCTGACCCCTCCACCCGGCACAGAAACATCGGATGATCCAGCAGATTATGTAACGCTACTACGACGAAGGATGTCTGAGATACGACCGGTACCTGCTTCACACCACAACAAGCAAGCAACCTTTGTCTTTAAGGATCTCTCCACTGCATCCCACGCATTTTTGCGCGACGATACCGTTCGACGTCCATTACAACCTCCCTACACAGGTCCTTTCGCCATAGTAGACCGATCCAGAGATGGAAAAACCTTCACCCTTGATATCAGGGGCAAACAGGTTGTGGTAAGCGTCGACCGCATAAAACCGGCCTACATTGATCAGGACGTTACTTCGCCGTTAGCTCAACAAACTATCACACCTGCAAGCCCCTCAGCTCAGAACCCTGTCCCAACCCAACCAAACATCCCTCCCTCTAACATAGTCCCTCTACCAGACAAACAGACAGTGACCACACGGTCCGGCCGGCAGGTTAAATTTAAAGACCAAATTGACTATTTCTACTTTTAGTGACTACATAGTAATTCTTCCTTTACCATACGTAGTGTAATTAAGCTAAGTTTTATTTTTGCAATTTATCCTACTCCGTGGGGGGGTGGTGTGGCGTTTCCGAACGTCACGATATTTTCGTTATGTTGGCAACCACGCCGCAATGATCGGGTGGTTGGCAATAGAACGTCACAGCGATCTCTCTTGCTCAGGCGCGACTCTTCGTTACAGACGTATCATGTTGTAACTATACTGTGTACCTAGAATACGTAACTCAATCTTATATTGTGAACGTGCATACATTAAATATATTCTACGAAGTTCTGTGTTTCGTTTCTTCGCGCCTGCGTTCCTCAAGAAAAGGGAAGGCCGCCTCCGCCGGCAGTCATTCCCATAAATGTATCATTAGGAATGTTGATATATTATGTAATTATTATTATCAGACTATTATCATTTTTTTGAATATTAATTAAATCAACATTGTCTGCATTATTAATTACAGTGACAAGTGGTTTATGGTCACTAAAATAAGACACATGGACGTTCGTAGATACGTGGTTCACGAATCTTGAAAATACCGCATCAATGGTTGTACCATACCTCGTTGTCCCCATTGCTCTATCAGAAACAATATCTAAATTCAGTTCAGATTTAAAAAAAATATTAATGTCATCTTTGTTTGTCCGTCATCTTTGTTTGTCAAAGTTGCCCGACATAGTATGCGCACCAAAAACGTAACGAGGTCATTCATCGATAGATTTTACTCCTCACATTTTTCTCATACCGGGCCCCTTATATTATATGCAAATCGATTCTTAAGGAGTAAACTCCAAAAACTACCACTTCAGCCCAATGCTTCTAAGGATACTACCAGAGGCACGAATGGAGCATTGAAAGAAAGAAAGAGAGAGAAAGAAAGCTGAGTGAGAGTAGACCCATGGTTGAAATAGAAAGATTGAGAGAAAGCAGGATAAATAAAGAAAAGGAGGAAGCTAATATAATTATGAGATGAGATTGGAAATAATATAAGATCCAGATCTACGTAGTGGAGTGGAAGATCCTGTGAATTGTATCATGAATATGAGCAGAGCATTTGTAACTTTGGGGCTATAGTGTAGTAGGTAGGTATAAGAAATTTTTTTTAGCTAATATTATTTTTAGATAGGTGTCTTGTACATAGGTACCTATTGTTTTTATAATATTAATGAACATAAGTGCGGATTTTCTTACATAATGTGCATTCGTAATATATCTTTATATATATAATTCTTTTGTGAGTGTGTATGTCACTGAACTTCTCTTAAACGACTGGACCGATTTTGATGAAATTTTTTGTGTGTGTTCAAGGGGATCTGAGAATGGTTTAGATTCACAAAGACGTGTAGACAGGACAACATCTGTCGGGTCCACTAGTATATATATATGAACGCTCCTAATGTTTAATATATATATATATGACTCATCATGGTCTCAACCAAATGTAATCAAAAACACTAATCAAAAAGTCTGCATTAAGAAAAAACATCCCGTGATGACTGGGATACTAATATTAATATACTAATTACTAATATTACTTATTTACTTTTACTAATTACTAATATTGTTATAAAGAGGAAATATTTGTATGTAAGTATGTTTGTAACGAATTGGCTCAAAAGTACTAGACTGATTTTAAATATTCTTTCACCATTTGAATGCTACAATCTCACTGATTAATATAGGCTATAGTGTTTTTTTTTTAAAGTTAGGGTTCCGTATGAAAACTTCGATAATGTAACCCAAAGTGTGTAAAAAATAGCCTTATATCGCGTACGCTGCGGAAGTCATTGACAATAGAGCAAAGTGTTAAACATAAGTTTTATAGAGGATACAAATATCTACAAAAAAGTCCGCAATACCAATATCTAACTTCAAATTAACAATTTCAATTACAAATTGTAATTGGTGACTTTAATTACAAATTACTTGAAATTATTGAAATGTAATTCAATTAACAATTACAATTAGCAATTGAAATTGTTAATTGCAATTACTCAATTACTTATATATATAATCTCTTTTAAAGACGAGGTAGTATTTGAATAAAACTATTACTATTATATAATGATTTATCAAATGTTTATTTCCGAAATAGATCAGATAAATTGTGTAATTATAACCACCTTTTTTAAAATTAAGACAATAAATGTTTAATTTATTTTAAATTAGACATTAATACTACTGTTTGTTCAAACATTTGATCAGAAAGTTTGTAAGATTTTGGTAAGTTAATCATTGTAGCTTAAGAGAACAATCAATCGAAATAAAGGTGCACGCCGCCGAGAGACTAGAAAAGGGATAGGTAGCTGTGTAGGTACTGGTAACGAGGCACACACTTACACACTCATAAATTCATGGCAAATTATACACTAAAACTTTGTTTGTGTTGTGCTTGTTGTTCTGCGTACGGGCATCAAGCTAATAACCGCTCAATTTTAGTAGTTTATTATGTTACCCTTATAAAGTAATTGAGTAATTTGAATTACAAACTAATGTAATTTAAATTACTTCGGACGTAAGTAATTGAATTACAGTAATTTCAAATACATATAATTTCAATTAAAGTAATTCAATTACAAAAGTAATTAATTACGCCCAACACTGATCACACACAACTAGAGGTCCCCTGAGGTTTCACCCGCGTCAATTTGAATAAAATGGTTTATAGTGAGTCAAACTTAAAATATGGACATAGGCTGTATAGTGGACTTTTTACAAAACTTTTAAAGGGGAAGAATACATGATTTTTGTGTAACTTTAACCGTTTACCCAGCGTACGCAACGGAATCTCACAAATGAAATGTTTTTATCCGTTTTTGCAACATTTTTCATCGATGCTTCGCTACTACTAGGTCGTAGCCTGGTAATATATGGCTTAGCCTTTCTCGATAAATGCACTGACCGATACAAAAAGATTTTTTCAAATCCGAACAGCAGAGCAATGTTGCATTCGGTACAACGGGTCCTAAACTGCGCAACGATTTTTTTGCTTAGAATAGAAGGTTTATAATTGTTATGAAGAAAGTCATTGGTGTCGATTCTAGCGTGATTCTCTAAACTTAAAACTAAATTTAACATCAGTCTCTCCTCTTCATTCTGTATAGAGAACAGGGATACACTGTTGTCAAATTTAATTTTAGCTTAAGAGCATAATGCCAGAATCGACATCATTATGTAAGTATAATACAAGCCTTTGAACAAAAACTATAGTACACTACAGCTCTAAACTGTAGCAAAGCGAGGGCGGGCCACTAGTGATCTAATATTTAAACAGCCCCAAGTCGTGCTCGCTGCAAATACTGTTGTTACGATGTTACACAACATGTATAAAATTCTTATTAAATTACATGTTTGTTTTGAGAGTCAGAACAACATTTTATGTAAATCGTCTTTGACACCCCATCATTGTTTACCCAGGTGTGGCAACTGAGTCAGTTTTCTACACTAATATAGATAAACGGCGATTGCAAGTGCTGCGTGAAAATTGAATAGATGGTTATAAAGGTCATATCCTAACTTACTAACTAATATTAGAAATGCAAAAGTCAGTTTTTTTCTTTGTTTGTTACGCTTTCACGCAAAATCCACTGAATGGATTTGACTGAAAGGACATTGGGCAAAAATGCATGGACGCTGCACCCACGTCCGCCCCGGCTTAAACTACATTTCTTTGAAAGGTATTATAGTCTTGATAATCTGTGCCAAAGCGCATCAAATTCCATCCCGGGGGTCTTTAGTTATTTTAGGTTACAAGTACTATAACGGACGAACATTAATGAAAAAAGGGAATTAATTTAGTAACTTAGTTCGACCCTACATAGAGGGCTAAGGTATTATGGGAGTACTTTACGAGGTGCAAGGATGCCCCCTTATGTTATTCGGCTACTCTAAAGTAAATCCAAAAATCCCCGCATGGGTTCGGGTGTTTTGAAACAGTCTGTTCGTTGTAGTAAATTGTCTTCTATGTAAAACGGAGTGACCACAAATCACGCAAACTTGTCCAAGCTTCGGAGAAAACATGATTCCATTTCATCCATACTAATTGACAAAACCGATAATCGTGTTCCAAAGTCCATAGCGTTTTAGATAAAAACAATCAAGTAAGACGTGTCGACTATTTGCAATTGCGAATCCTTCAACCCCCGTAAACCGTTTTGTGGTGGCTCAGTAAGTGCAAGCGAGGATAGTCGGCAGACTTTGTCGTATATCTGGTTGTACAGTACGATATGGCATATTATTATGGTTTCGAATAATATAAAATGAAGGTACTATAAAATTTATATATTTAGCTACTTAAATATGCCCATTTGTCACATCTTTTGACTACCAGGATATTTTGACGTGACAACGTCTTAAATTAGGTTGCGGCTGGGAGTCACTTATGAAAAAGTGTAACGCTCGGTAACGTTACGATGAGTCTCTCGTGTTAAGTTTAAGTTTACATGTACAATGTTTTAGTAAACAAAATATATTTCTATAGTTAAAATTTGTGCAATTCTTATTTTCATTCAATTCCTTGTTCCTATTGTGCAATTTAATTATATTCATATCAATAAATATTCTACCGAGAAAAAGACGTTGTCACGTAAAATCTTCGCCCGTAAAACCGACTTTACAGGCAACCATTTTTTTACAATGTCATATCTTTTGACTACCGGGATATTTTTTTACGGTGTCATAATAAAAAAGGCTAGTTTTTCATAGATCTATCGATTCATACTAATTATATTGTTGGCGGAGCTGGGTGTGTTTTGCCCATTGTCCTTTGGCACATATATAGTTTATGCCCTAGATTAGGACATAGGATACTTTTTTTAATTTAATTTTAGGTTCCTTTGGGATTCCCAAAATACTAAAGTTGACGTAACGTTAACGACGGTAACGTTTTTCGAGTGTATGTATGTAAATAAGTATGTATGAATCTCTGTTTCTTTGGCACGCCCTACAGCCAGAACGACTTGACAAGCGAGGTATCATTTGATTTGTCGTGATTGTGCTTACACAATCATGACAAATTAAAACCCTTCACTTTGATAGCTCATTTTATTTAAAAGTTGTTTCATGAGTCATGAGTCAATAAATATGGCTGATATTCGGTGCCTAAAATGGAACATCTAAAAAGGATGCTTATAACCTTACAAGCGGGATATTAAAGTACCTGTAGAGTTTTAAAATACAATTCAGAAAATATAACTAAAATTATATAAATTCGCTATGTGTATTTTTATATGTCGAAAATAAAATAGTAATTTAAAAAAAAACAGAAAACTCTCCAGCTTAAAATATAATTTTGAATAATAAACTAAACTCGTACTACTTATCTGAAAAAAAATATCTAATCCAGTAGTCTAGAATTCTGTTTAGTAAGGAACAAGGATATATCAACAGTCGAGATCCATTACATATTCTAGAATAAATTAAATTTTCCCGATAATTGGTCCCGATTAGATTGTTAAAGTACTTTTGTATTTTACTTGACTAGATTCTAGACTACTTACCTTGGTTTTATTCTTTTCTGTTTTATTTTTTTTTAAATAACAAAGTTAAAATTTATATGAGTATTTATCGAATTTATAGTTTTAAGTGGAGCTGATTACGAATATTACATTTATCTTCAGATTATTATTAGTGATGTCCTTATTGCACTGTAATAATTTAAACTTAAAAGATCTATTATGTGACTCGACATCACGTTATAGTACTTATCTGTTTTAATGAGAGAGCTTCCAAGGAGCTCCAAGTTTCTGGAAATGTAATTTTCCTCTAGTCATATTATAAGTTTTAATACTGGACAACGTTCAACCACAATTAATTAAATGTGGTTGAACGTTGTCCAGTATTAAAAATATTCATTAATTTTTCATCCATCACTATAAATTTCTACCTATTATTTTTGCCATTCATTCGTAAAACCTCTTCTTTTAATTGAATTCTATATTTGTTTAAGATAGGAAACACCATGTTCCAGCAGGATTGAAGTGGCAGATCGGTTGTTGCATGAGAAAACAACATAATTTTTCATTTTTGTGGGAGCTCTGATTCGCGATACGGAACGATCCAAAATAATAGAGGTCGCGCGTGAACTACATAGTTTTATTTAACGCACATGGTCGAGTGGCCACGTACTTTGGCGAAAGGGGTTCGCCCGCCTATGCAATTCTCCAATGGTATATGCTCTAAGAAATAAAACTGTAAGTAATGATATTCATTTGTATGAATTCCAATGTAAAGAACATTTATGAAGTCTGTATGCACTCAATATTCTTTGCCTTCCAAAAAGAAGAAGCTGGAGAAGATTAAAAAAAATAAAAAAAGAAAGGGTGCATTCCGTAATGTAAACCAGTATACTGGCCAATGCTAATGACGTCACGAATCCGACGCCATATTGTACTGGTATGCTACCATATTTCTTCCGGGAAAAAAACGAATATGACTTATGACCGAGCGTGCGTGAGATGCATTCGAATTTTATTTCTTTTTTATTTAAAGAACAATAATGGCATACGAACAAAACGAATTCCTTTTAATTGATGAGGTGAATAAAAAATCTTCTTTATTCGCACTATTTTTAATATTTCGTCGTTTATGACGTCAGTGTACTGGCCAATATATTTCGAAACAATTCACCAGTATAGCGTCGATTCATGACGTCATTAACACTGGCCAGTATTCTGGTATATATTACGGAATGAACCCAAAAACTCTTGAGGCTTGCGGGTTTTTGCCTTTTTTTTTACTTGACATCATATCTAACTAGTCTGTGCTGTGCTTGACATTGGCTGAAAGCACAAACCGTGCATGCCTTAAAAAAAGAAAAATAAGAGGAGGCTCGCGGTTTTAATTTGTTGTCATTAATTTTATCTTCTATTTTCCGGGAAAATTATGTTTGAAAAAATACCAAATAAAAGAAAACTGTAGCTGAAAAAAGAAGAGAAGCTGTGAGCTAAAAGAAATGGAGGAATACGAAGCGCTTGAAATATTGGATCCAGACACCACTTGTACTTTATGTTATGCTGAATTCCTGGACCCAGAAGACCTCTATATACACATAAACCAGGTACATTCCACGGAACAAGTGGGTTCTATTGTAAATTGCCAGTTTTGTGCTTATTTTTGTAGCGATATTGAGTCTTATGCGGTCCATTTAAGAGATGCTCATTTAACTGATTTGAAATGCTGCAAATATTGCACCAGGGTTTTTGACGACTCCAGCGCACACAAGAGACACGAAATCAAGCACTACATATATGTGAACAAATCTGCATACTCATGTTCGCACTGCAAAGACGTATTCACAACATTAAGTGAACTAAGAGACCATGATCGCTTAAATCATAGTGATTCTGCAGAAGGCGCCTTACTAAATGAAGTATTCCCTGTCTTATCGTCTCTTCTGAATGCTAATGCTAAGAAGTTTCTCCAGTCGTTGAATGATGTTGATGTTTTATATGTATGCTTGAAATGCGACCACACAACACCAAAAATAACTGATTTTATTGAACATCTAAAATTAAAAGGATGTCGTTCTCTCTCTTGCGATGGTTGTTCATCAGTATACAAGACCAAGAAAGGCTTGTATAAACATTACAATGCGCATCCTGAGTGTTTTAACGGTGTAAGCACAGTGAAACAATGTTCAGAGTGCTTAAAAGAATATGACATAAAAACTTTAAGAGAGCACAGTAGAACTTGTAAACCTATCAAGTGTAAAAAATGCAATATTGTTTTTAATTCCATGTACGAACTAACTAAACATCAAACAGAGACACATCCGGCGATAGTGCTACTTCAACAATGTCAATATTGCAATAAAGATTTTGCTGGACAAGCAGCAATGGAGAAACACATAGAAAGAGTACACAAGAGCAATCTCCACCTTTATAAATATAGATGTGTCTACTGTGATGTTGTATTTAAACATCCAAAAAAATTATTTGGTCACTTCTTTTCCACACATAAGGATTTAGAACCTTACACTTGTAAAATATGTGACAAGAAGTTTAGGATTCGGAGGAATTTCACTCTTCACATCAAACTAGATCATAAAAGTATAGGTTATGTTGAATTTGATGACAAATATCACGTTTACTTCAGTGAAACAAAATCAGAACGGCCTGTTAAACAGTCAACCGAAACTGGTGGGGAACAGAATAAAATAAAAGATGGTACTGCCTTGAATAAGAAATCTGGAGAATTGGAAGAAACTGAGCAAAATAATGAAATTGATTCGAAGCAACAATCAAGTCAGTCGAGTAATCGAGTTCGTTTTAATGTTGAAGATAATGAGAAAAATATAAGTTTTCCAGATATCAATTCAGATTTCATGAGTGCGACAGAGACGGAAGGTAATCAAACTGAGGGAGACATAGAAAAGAGTACATCATTAAAAAGGAAACTTAAAACTAAAAAAAATATTAACAAAAGACGATGGCCACAAACTCTAGATGAAATTGTTATAACAGATTCCTCTTCAGATGAAGATGAATCTCTTTTGGTATTAAAAAAGAGAGTAGCAAAACAACATAAAACCAGATTAGCAAAAGCAAAGAGAGCAATGAACAATGCGTTGTCATCACAAGTAATTAAAAAAAGTGGTAAGAAAAATAAGTTGGTATGTGATGTTTGCAAAAAACCCTGTTACACATATCAAAATTACAATAATCATATAGCTTCACATAGAAAGAATGCCACTGTTAAGTGTGTCAAATGTTCAGAAACATTCAAAACAAGGAAGGCACTAAACGATCATTACTCTAAAGAGCATTCTAGCTCACAGTTGACGGAAACTTTAAAGAATCTCTTGGAAAAACGAAAGAGTCTTGCATCTACAAAAGCAGTATTATCTGTTAAAAATGAGAAGTTTAAGCTGACTATCAAAAAAGTTTGCACACAAAGCGACTCTGTACCTGCAACTGTAGTAGCTGTCGGGGACACCCCTCTATCGGTCCGAAAGTTCATAGAAAGCTTTGTGCCAGAAACAGACGCTCCGAAGAAAGATATCAATATTGATACAAATATAACAATCAAAAAAGTCTACGGAAGTCGATGGTCTGTACCTAAGATTAAGATGACAAAATGTAATTTGGATCATCAGCATTTTCAAAATGGAACAAAACTAGCAATGCCTGTGCCATTCAAAAAGACCCAAAACGAACAACACAAGGTTACAGTAAAAGCTGTAGAAACACCAATCTGCGAGTCCCCAGAACACACTTCTACTGTGTCGGTCCATCAAGATTATCCAGACCAAGATGATTATCATGAAGATGACAATGACGAGCAGACGATACCGGAGGTGGCTCAAGAAGTCATGTTAGAAGGATCTGAAGATCCCACACCTAAAACTATTTATATACCACACAAGGTCGTGATTCCCAAACTCGCACCTCAGTGTAAGAAGATACACATCGCACATTTACAGCCAGAGGCACCTTACTATAAGATAGTGAAAGTTGAAGATGCATTAAACCCCAAGAAGAAACCGGAAGCGGTTTCGGTGCCAAAGAAGGATATAAAGCTACCTGATGGAACGACTTTAGTTAGCGTGAATCCATTGGCTCACCTATTAGGCGATACACCAGTCGAGAAGATCATTGAAAGCACGAAGAATAAGCATTACACGCCTAAACCGAAAGACTTCGCGTCTGCCGTAGCTAAAGCGATGTTGAAATTGGCCAAAACCAGTGAAGCGTCTGCCCCGAAACGTAGAAGGAAAGCTAAAGAATCAAAATAACCTAGATATGGGTGTAAAATTTATGATAGATTTGTCGAGATAAATAAGAAGTTTTCCAAAGACTTTAAATTGTCTTCATTATTGAAAATTCTACAAAAATGTTCATGATGTCATCTATATATATTTTACTTGACTATTGTTTTTTTCGTTTAAATATACAGAAGCATAAGTTACAATCTATTATAATTATATGAATACAATGTTTTTTTATTATTATTTTGTACATAAATACTATCTCACTCAAATGCTTTTAAATAATGATTACATTGTACATCATTAAAGCTTTCTGTCATCAGCTGGTCAAATGCTTAATTCTTTCGCATTTCGTTAAAATTTAGGGTAAAAATGAATCAGGATTTTTTTCTACTGTATGTTGGTCTCGCTCTTATATTATGGTTATTTTTATTTAAATTTTAAATTATTTAACGACTATTTCCAGTAATCGATATGCATAGCTGGGCACCGATAATCAAATAGTTAACTTCGTTAATCGTTAATCCGTTACTAAAAAAATTAACGTCGTTAAACGTTAAGGCACTTTGCAGACGACGGGGCGGGGCGGGCCGGTCAATTTCGCCACGAATAATAGCACAAAGTGAATCCTATACTTCAAACGCACACAGAGGGCAAAACGACCGCGCCGCAGGTGCCCGGCGGGTAGTGGCGGCGCGGCATGTCCGCGGCTGCCCGCCGTGGATCATACAAACCAGTTTATATGCAGTAAGGCCGTATACAGAAAGAAAGCCGAAAGCCGATCGGCGCCGATCAGCGCCGATCGGCGCCTATTGACGCTGATCCTTTTTCTATGGACCGGCGCCGATCGACACGCGCTGGTCCGAATAATAAATAATTTGTATTTGAATTATTATCCTTAGATTAAATCAATCTAAGTTATAATCTTTTTATAAATCTAATAACTATCTTTTATTAACTAAGCGCTAAAATTATTTGTTTCGTACTACCGAATGGTGACAAGTCTTTCCTCTGGAAGGATTGGTTGTTTATGCCAATTGCCCCAAATTTTCATCAAACGGTTTTTCACTAAATCCAAAATGTAATAAAATGTTTCTTGAATCATTTTTGTATATGTATAAAATCTTTGTTCATCAAATTTTTTTTTTTTTACAAATAAATGATGGTATTCTCCGAAACGTTTCCTTTCTCTATTTATAGGATGTATAGCTGTTTTTCGCATTCTTAAATAAATATTTTCTAACAAAACCAAATCATCGTCCGATGAGTCCGACATTTTGCTTGAACTGCTTTAATCGGCTTCCTTTATGTAGGAAGGATCGGCGCCGATCGGCTTTCGGCTTTCTTTCTGTATACGGCCTAACGCAGACGGCGGCGCGGGGCGGTCAGCTCAGTGCGCGCCACGCGCTTATTAGTGATGGACTATTCACTAGAACGAACATCCTGAACTGACCGCCTCTGCCCGTCGTGTGCTTTGTGTACGCGGCGCGGGCAGCCGCAGACATCGACGGGCAGACGCGGTCTTTATTGCTTCGCGGACAAAATGCTCGCCCCGCCCCGTCGTCTGCTCAACGCCTAAGACGTTAAATTTCGGAAGATTTAACGCAAGTTAAAGTTAATCGTTACTCCGTTAACACGTGATAAAAATTGCATTTTTATATCGTTGTGTTAGTGATCTGCTTTCAAAAACTGTTGTTTTGGGTTCTGGTAGTTAATAATAGGTTAGGTTCAAAAATAAAAGTGTGTAATTTAAACATCAGGCACAATGTGGATATTTCCCTTCATGAACATTAGTATGTTGAAGTTCTCGTCTGTGAGTGAGGCTATCATCATTAATTGACTTGATCAGACCAGGGGGCTTAGACAAAGTTACATCGTTTCGTAGCGAAACGATATCTAAATTCGTCATCGTTTCTGAGATAACGAAAACAATTTCCTAGCCAAGGTAACACTCTTGTCGTTATCGTCGTGGCGAATTGTTTTTTCGCTAAGAAAACGAAAATTGTCTATGGTATCGAAAATTTCTGCTGCCAGTTAGTCAAGAAGAGCCCGCGAATCGGAAACTTATTTAATTATGTTGCGATGTGAATGTAAGGTTTATTAATAAACGAGTCTCTGTAATGCATCAGCATCGTGTTAGATTAAGATCACCATTAATGTTGTGTATCGTTTCTCAGAGCTCATGTTGCTTAGCGTGTTTATACAAAAGTAATACGATAAAATAGCGTCCTGTGTGTGGGACAATGCTTTGTTTTGTACATGTTTTAATTGTATTTCGAATAAAAGATTAGAACCCAGAGGCTCAGGCAGTCCAGTTTATGAACAAGAGAGCAAGTTAACTAACGTGTATTATATTAGAAGTGTGAATTTGTGTTTCAGTATAGAAAACAACAGTAAGTAAATAGTGTTTTTAATTACTTAAAAATGGTTCTTAAAACATAATGGAGTGGAGAATAAACGATAGTGGACTAATCTGTATGTTCATTTTTAGTAATCATCATGGAATCAAGAGTGCGAGCAAATCCCGAACAATTGTCAACGCTGCTAGAGTTTATGAAAAGGTAGGTAAATCCAAGTTTTAGACATTATTCGAGATTTTAATCATACAAATATTTGGTACCAGCTTCGGTCCATGCATACCTAAACACTCATAATGAAGCTTTGTTTGTTTATGTTACAGTCATGGTGACCTGGCTAGGCCTCTTACTGGAGCACAAGGTCGAGTAAGATCAGACCGACTATGGGCTGATCTTACTAATATTTTAAATGCTGTTGGTGGTGGTGTCAATAAGACAACAGATAAGTGGAAAAAAGTAAGTACTTATTGAATAGTTTTGGAATGACTGGTTTGATGGAACCCTATACTCATTTATATGGTTAGTTACTTACTAAAACTGATCTATATTCATTTATTTACATTATTCAATAAAGGTGTGGGCGGATTGGAAATCCAAGACCAAGAAGAAAGGGCTGATAATTAGGAGTCATGCAAGAGGGACTGGTGGTGGGCCAGCAAGCCGGCAAATCTTGTCGGCTCTTGATGAAATGCTGGCCATTATGGGCCCTTTAGCAGTGGAAGGACAAGCCTCTGTACAAGAGCTTGGATTTAATGTAAGTATTTTATATTCAAGTTTATACTTACAATGGTCAATAATACATATTAAATAAATAAATTAGATTACTAATAAAAACAAAAGGTACCTACTTAGTTATAATGAAGACACGGACCCATTTTTATATTTTGATAGGTAAATCAATTGAAATTGGTTAGTGATAAAGTACATATATGTGTATTCTAGTATAAATATTAAAAAGCGGTTATCTCCCTATTCCTTCCATAGGGAAGGCCTGTGCCCTTGCAGTGGGGACATTAATAGGCTGCTGATGATGATATTTGTAATAATTACTTATTCTGTAGTATTAAACCTATTTTTATGTATCAATTTTTTTCAGAAGTCCCAATCAGCTGCACCCACACAACAATTATCTCCACCTACCATCCAAGATAATCCAATCTATTTGGAAATTGTAAATGGTACGTCTTTTGTATTTATTTTATAATATTACTTTAGATCTAAAGAAAATTATACTAGAAAAAAATCCACGCGGAATTCCTGCTGCCTAGCCCGAATGGAATTTTTTCTAGTAATTTTTTTTTATATTTATACACAAATTTTGTTTTTCCAGAAACGCCGGATCTGCCTACATCACCACAACCACAACCTTCTACTTCATCCCAGTCCCAAGCACCATCCCGCCCTCGCGTACTCGCTGCACCTTCCTCGCAGGGAGGCTTCTCAGGGCGGCCTCCGCCATCCCCGCCAGACACACCCGCCTCTCCAGCCCCCACTACTCCTCCGAGGCGGAGGCGGCCGCCTACCCCCGGCGCATCTGCTACTCCCCGACTGCCGGGCGTCGTCCGCGGATGAGGTCGCCGGCGACACCGCAGTCTACTGCTTCTCCCGGCCGCCCGCGTTAGCGCGCCCGCCGTAGACTAGCCCCGACCCCCTATGAGAGAGCGGCCATCGAGTTACGACGCCTGGAGCTGGAGGAAACCCGGACCAGGCTCCAGCACGAGCGCGACTTGCGAGCGTTGGAGGTTGAGCACGACCGGAACCGGAACGAAGTGTTTGGAAAATTAGTTAATATCGCTCAAGCTTGGCTTGACTATTATCGTAGCAGGGACAACACAGAACCGCTGAACACTGAATAGTTACTCAATATCAATGTTAAGCGGTTGTGTTGTCCTTGTGACAGAAGGCAAACCACAAAACACACAAGTAGGGGGCCACGCGCCGTACTGCATTATCCCTCTCGGGGGATAATCGCTTCAGATAAAGCTTGTAAGGCCCTTCAGGCCATAAGCATGTACTAAGGGTGTGTTTTAGTCAGTAGGAGTCTGACATAACCTTGCAGCCGGCTGTAGGGTATATCCATGAGGATTTCACACCCGCTCCCCCGTTTTTGTTTTACTGTCCCAATTCCCACTAATATTATAAACGAAAATTTGGTATGGATGTATGTGTCGATTGTTTGTTTCTGTTAATAAAAACACTATATTAGTTAATAGTAATTTTATTTAAACAACTACATCCTTCTCTCTCTTTGTTTCAGTTTCTTACAAAATTAATATAATGTAATTTTTTTTTCTCCTTCTAAGAAACAACATCGAGGTTATTACAATAATTTTACTGTCACAGTCGAAGATACATGAATTGACATTCTAAATTCAGATTTTTTAACCACAGCATAAACACATCTATAGGAAATAAGTTATATTTCTAGAAGCTATATCAAAAGCGCTGAATAAATAATATTAGATAACATTTTTATAACTAAAAACAGCACATAAAGATCATTTAAATAGTTATAATTTTTATTTTTAAGCATGTAACTGCTTGATGTTTAAATCTAAAGAAAATATAGGCGCTGCCTTGCAGCTTAACAATGGCTAGAAGACTTTCGACGCGGGATAGCATAAGTGCCATGGTAGCATAATTGGTCAGTGCATTCGCCCGGATTGCGAAGGGTGCGGGTTCGAGTCCCATCTGCTGCCTGGTCCGCGTGGAATTTTTTCTAGTTATATTTTCTTTAGATTTAATTATTTAAATAATTAACTATTTTTACAATTAAACAATTACATTATGTAGTCCGGTCAATTTAGACATTTGAAGCTACCTAGCTAGCTTGGTGGGAATTTAGGTAGCTTTACTCTTATCTTTTGGTATAATTTCACCGGACCAATTGTTTGGAATGTTCTTAAAACAAATAAATATAAGAAATATTCAAAATTCTTATACATAATTGTTTCTAACTTTAATGGAAGAATTATATATGAAAAAAATATCAAATGCTAATAGGACAATACCAGATGATGTATGTAAATAATAAATATGATATCAGAGAGGTTTCCACGGATACAACCTACTTATTAAGCATCTACGCATAGCCCTGCCTCGGATTAACTCATTTTCATTATCATTGGTGGAGATGCTTTGTAGCATAGAAGGTTCTTCACCAGCTTCTAGACCTCCGATTGGTTCATCACTTGGGGGTGGTATTCTAGCATCTAATGCAATGTTATGCAGCACACAACATGCATTAGTAATTTTGCTAGCCATGTTAGGGTGATAGTGAAGAACTCTATCTCGAAGCATACACCTCCAACGAGCCTTGAGTAATCCGAAACAGCGTTCAATACGAGACCTGGCTTGGACATGACGTCGTGTGTAACTGTCTTCCTGGGATCCTGATTCAGCATTTAATACAGGGGTCATT